GGGGACATGGGGGTGTGGGGGGGAGATTTGGGGCTTCACGTGGGAGGGACAAGCGGAGAGCTGGGGCTCATGGGGACATGGGGACACTGGGGGACATGGTGGAAAGGGGATGGATGTTGCAGCAAGTGGTGGGGACATGGGAGGGTGAGGGGACATGGGGATGGACAGAAGGGGACACGTGGGGACATGGAGGGGATATGGGACACAGGGGGGTCTGAGGGCTCGTGGGTGCACAGGGACAAGGAGGAGGGACACGGGGGACCAGGGGGTGACGCGGTGGCCGTCCCCAGGCCTGCGCCCCGCTCTACAGCTGGCGCACGGTGAAGGACGAGCCGGGCCGGGACCCCGTGGGCTCCTGCTTCCTCTCCGTGGGCCCCTGGGGATGTCCTGGGGACAAGAAGACACCCCTGGGGACACCCTGGGGACACTCCTGGGGACAGGGGGACACCCCTGGGGACACCCTGGGGACACCCCTGGGGACGTCCTGGGGACACCCTGGGGATGTCCTGGGGACAAGAAGACACCCCTGGGGACACCCTGGGGACACTCCTGGGGACAGGGGGACACCCCTGGGGATGTCCTGGTGACAAGAAGACACCCCTGGGGACACCCTGGGGACACTCTGGGGACAAGAGGACACCCCTCTGGGGACACCCTGGGGACACGGGGACACCCCTCTGGGGACACCCCCAAGACACCCCCTGGGGACATCCTGGGGACATCCTGGGGACACCCTGGGGACATGGGGACACCCCTCTGGGGACACCCCCAAGACACCCCCTGGGGATCCCCTGATGATACCTCTGGGGACACGCGGACATCCCCGGTGACACCCCGGAGGACACCTCTGGGGACACCCCCTTGGAGACACTCCCAGGGACCTGGAGACCCCCATAGGGGACACCCCTGGGGACACTGGGGACATTGGGACACCTCTGAGACCGCCCCCGCCCGGTACACCAGGACACCCCCCCGGGGATACCCCCCTCTGCGGACACCAGGACACCATCGTGACACCCTTGGGGACACTGGGGACATTGGGACACCCCCCACAGGGTGCCACCATGGACCCATCCCCTGGCACCTCCTGAGCCACCACCTTGGCTGATGTCCCCATCCCTTGTCACATCCCACCCTCCATCCCGGGGTGACACCCCTGTACCCCCCCCCCAGCAC